TGGAATCCAAGAAAAACAAGGGTGCGAATTGTAATTTTCCCATAGGATATGTATTTCCGAACAGGGTGCGAATTGTAATTTCCCATAGGATTTGTGCTTGGAATCCAAGAAAAACAACGGTGCGAATTGTAATTTCCCATAGGATATGTATTTCCGAACAGGGTGCGAATTGTCATTTCCCATAGGATTTGTGCTTGGAATCCAAGAAAAACAAGGGTGCGAATTGTAATTTCCCATAGGATATGTATTTCCGAACAGGATGCGAATTGTAATTTCCCATAGGATTTGTGCTTGGAATCCAAGAAAAACAAGGGTGCGAATTGTAATTTCCCATAGGATATGTATTTCCGAACAGGGTGCGAATTGTAATTTCCCATAGGATTTGTGCTTGGAATCCAAGAAAAACAACGGTGCGAATTGTAATTTCCCATAGGATATGTATTTCCGAACAGGGTGCGAATTGTAATTTCCCATAGGATTTGTGCTTGGAGTCCAAGAAAAACAAGGCTGCGAATTGTAATTTCCCATAGGATATGTATTTCCGAACAGGGTGCGAATTGTAATTTCCCATAGGATTTGTGCTTGGAATCCAAGAAAAAGAAGGGTGCGAATTGTAGTTTCCCATAGGATGCTGTACCTGGATGCCAAGAAACAGAGTCTACTTAATGTATTTCCGAACAGGGTGCGAATTGTAATTTCCCATAGGATTTGTACTTGGAATCCAAGAAAAACAAGGGTGCGAATTGTAATTTCCCATAGGATATGTATTTCCGAACAGGGTGCGAATTGTCATTTCCCATAGGATTTTTGTGCTTGGAATCCAAGAAAAACAAGGCTGCGAATTGTAATTTGCGAATTGTAATTTCCCATAGGATGCTGTACCTGGATGGCAAGAAACAGAGTCTACTTAATGTATTTCCGAACAGGGTGCGAATTGTAATTTCCCATAGGATTTGTGCTTGGAATCCAAGAAAAACAAGGGTGCGAATTGTAATTTCCCATAGGATGCTGTACCTGGATGCCAAGAAACAGAGTCTACTTAATGTATTTCCGAACAGGGTGCGAATTGTAATTTCCCATAGGATTTGTGCTTGGAATCCAAGAAAAACAAGGGTGCGAATTGTAATTTCCCATAGGATATGTATTTCCGAACAGGGTGCGAATTGTAATTTCCCATAGGATTTGTGCTTGGAATCCAAGAAAAACAAGGGTGCGAATTGTAATTTCCCATAGGATATGTATTTCCGAACAGGGTGCGAATTGTAATTTCCCATAGGATTTGTGCTTGGAATCCAAGAAAAACAACGGTGCGAATTGTAATTTCCTATAGGATATGTATTTCCGAACAGGGTGCGAGCTGGCGGTTTCAGCTGGGGGAAACAAGCAGAAGTCTAGAAAAGTGTTTGAATTCTCCGCAGATACAACGAAGAATTTCGAAGAATTTCGAAGATTTACGAAGATCTAAGAGGAATGGTCTAGAAAAGTGTTTGAAGTTCTCCGCAGATACAACGAAGAATTTGGAAGAATTTCGAAGAATTTCGAAGATTTACGAAGATCTGAGAAGAATGGTCTAGAAAAGTGTTTGAAGTTCTCCGCAGATACAACGAATAATTTGGAATAATTTGGAATAATTTCGAATAATTTCGAATAGTTTCGAATAATTTCGAAATTTCGAAGATCTAAGAATAATGGTGAAGAACCTGGAAGAATGAAGAATATTATGGAAGTTTACCGAAGAAAACGTAATATTTCCGAATATTTAAGCAGAAATTCAAACATTTCTGAATATTGTTGAATAGGGTTAAACACACTGAGAAGTACCCTTCTGAGAAGCCTCCCTATCCTCACAGAAGACTTACATTGGCAATACTTCCGAAATTCTCACGCGAGGTCTTCCAGAAGCAGCTTCCGGTGCCTGGACTCTTGTGTCTGGCTGGAAAGGCTCCGTCCGACCGATCGCTAGCAGAGAGGCATCGCCTCAGTCGCATCTTGAACTGAGTTTGGGATCTTTACCTCTCGGGAAGATACTAATGACTAAACTGAACTCGGAATGCGAAGTTCAGGCTCAAGTTGTTAGGTTTATGCGGTCAAGCGGAGACTGAGACGCTGCAAGAAAAAATCGATCTTGAGTCGCAGGTTCGTTGGCGTCGGACAGAAACCATCACCATGTCAGACTCGTGTAGACTATGCTACGACGGTCCTTCGATTCCAGTCGAAGCAAGGGGCAAGATGCAGAATAATGCAGAAGAGTGAGGTGGAGGGTTGTTGTGAATACCAGTTTTGGATTCTCGAATCGTCAAGGCATCGTCAAGGCGGTGGTCTAGAGTCCTCGAGCAAGCCTTCATCCTAACATCTACTTGGCAGTAGTTGCAGTCCGAGTTGCCCATCATGCGCCCCGTTCCGCCACCTTGATGGAAATCACTGGTTGCATTACCAGCTGTCAGCACCCAGCGTGATAATGATCTAAATTCACTCAGCCCACTCATGCAGCAGACGTCGAAGGTCAGTGCAGCTTAAATACTCTGGAACAGCATAACTACCCAGCATCCTCGCCAGGGCACTCTTGTAACGCTCTATGTCTGCGGCCTCGGCTGACTCTAAGGAGAGATCAAGCTCCGAAAGTGCACCAAGGCCACAAATTCCAGAACATTCCTGGCGAGGGCTAAACTAAACCTGCCACAACCAACAGCGAAACGAACCGTCGTTATCTTCACATCAGCATCACCATAAAGCGTACACTGCTCCGTCTGAACATCATCATGTTGCATCCTGCATGTTTCACATCATCTTCATCGGTCGGTAACGCGGCGCCACCACCACCATGCGGCTGCACCTCACGGAACGACCACCACGACCATCCAGCATGAACATTATGATCATCATCACCACCATCTTCCCGTCGTCATTGGCTTCATCGGTGGCAGCGGCAGTACCATCCTCGCCATCGTCATGACAATGGCATCTTCATGTCGGAAAGTCGCAGTTCCAGTCTGGTACAAGCAAGAACTGCTGTGGAAATCAATCAAGAAAGTCAGCTGAATCAGGGCAAGCCCTGCGACCACCCACGTGCAAAGATTGGAAAAAGTGGTCTGAGCTCAGGCTGGAACTGTAGCCCTTCTGTCCGCGAACCCCTGACTTCGATACTTTGCCGTTCTCTGCCTCCGAGGTGCTCCCCAACCCTGGGCTGCGAGGGGAGGTGACCGGATGGAGTCTAGAACTCAGGGCGTTTCTATGGAAACTTATATGATATCTCCGGAGTCGTCCACTTCGAGGCTCAGCCGGTTTTCGAAATGGTTGCTGCGACTCTGCCAAGGATTCGTTGTTTGCAGGAATGCTTGCCAGTTAGGGACTCGACAACGAAGGCAACTTGCAACATACGCTGAGGGCCCGACAAACCTTGCATGCGGTTGACGTATCACTTTACGGCATGCAACAACCACATTTTACTCCGGTTTCTGTACCACCAAGACGAGGCAACGACAACACCACCCCATCAAGGAACGCTACTTTAGCCTACCAGAAATGTAGCTCATCTTCTGTGCCAAGCACAAAAAACACCAGCCATTACATCCGCAAATAAAGCCGAGGCACAGACACCGGCCCATGAGGCTTCGGAGCCCTGGGGCCCAAGGGACGTCTCGGCGCCGCGCCGCTCAGCTCCAGAAGCTCTCGGAAGGGAAGCTCCCTGAAGCGGGGAAACGATGGAGACAGGGAGGGAACTCAGGGGTCGAAGAGCTGATGAACCCCCAAAGTCCCAAAGCCTGTCCACGTAGGGTAGCATCTGCTCCTGAAAGCGACTTGGATGCTCGGAACGTTTTTCCCCTTCGTCACGATTTGTGCTTCTCTTGAAGGTGGTTCTTTCCGTCAAGATCCAACCCACTCTACCGACATGCCAAGCTGAGCAGAATCTTTGCACGACACAAGCGAGGACACAAAGCTGCAATGTGCTGTCCTGCGCCACGAGCTCCGTGACCCACTGCGGCCAAGGCCTTCCATTGGTAACACAATCTCGGGTCTGCCAGCAAGGACGTCAGCAAACACAGCAACATCCAGCAACAGGCCAACGGTTTTGGAGCCAAAGCGAACAGGGGGTAGAGTTTAGATGCTTCAAAGCATCGGCGGCACCAAGCCTGGCAGTCTGTAACAAGAGGCGCTGAGAGCCGCGGCTACGCACAAAAGGATCCAATGCAAAATCAGTCTTCAGCTGCGTAGTTTTATCGTGGGACTCTGGACTGGAGATGTCCCCAGTCGAAGTCTTTTATGATGGAGACTCGGGATCCTAGCCTGGCTCGTTATTGCATGTCCTTCGCGAATGATCACGCAGCTGATGCAACTCATGTACTGAAGCTCAAACGCCAGCGCTTCAAATGCCAGCTCGGCTAATTGCCGGGTAGGCGCATCCAGTTGATTGCGCCCACCATCAGAATCAAATTCAATTCAGGCTCTGATTTTCAGCCGCTCGCACTGCAAGAATATGTCCCTGCTCTCTTTGTCTGCAGTACGCAGCCCCTGGTCCTGAAAATGCCGAGCACGACCAATGCAAGCGGGGTCAGCCCTCCAGGCTGCTCCAACAAATATCCATCACAAAATTTCTCGGAAGGCACGGGAAAATCATGTGTCCCAGGCCCTGCTAGACCCTGAAAAACCTTCTTCTCCATATTCAATATTCTTTATTTAATGTGAAGTCTATTACAGGTAAATTTAAATGGAAGATCAGATCGCCAAGAGCAGTATGCAAGAGAGCATCTGCCATCGTTCTTCTACCTACCAAACAAGTACAGAAATACTACAGCACCAACATGTTGTTGAAAGAAAGCTGGAAACGATGGCGAGTGCTAAAACTTCGGCCATGCCCGATTGGACTCCCCGGTTTCGGTGAGTCGTTACCGATGATGAGTGGCTAACTAATTGGGTACCCAAGAAACCAGAGTGCATCCTGATGAAGAGCAGTCGGGATCCAACCGTGAAGCACAGCACAAAACGGAGCACAAAACGGAAGATCACGCCTTGCCATTGAGGTTGCCGTTGGCAACGGCAAGGTATGCTTGCCAGCCATCTTGCTCCAGTCGTCGGCGCTTCTTCTCGACAGTCGCGGCTTCGGCGGCCATGTATTTGGCCATCTTCTGCCTCTGCCCTGGGTTGGCGGCCCCCAGGATGCGAACAGCGAGAAGTCCAGCATTCGCCGCGTTGCCGATGGCCACCGTTGCCACAGGAATGCCTTTCGGCATCTGCACGATGGACAAAAGCGAGTCATTGCCGCTCAAAGCCGAGGACTTCACAGGAACACCAATCACAGGCAAGGGCGTCAGCGCTGCCACCATGCCGGGGAGGTGCGCTGCACCGCCGGCTCCTGCGATGATCACGTTGATGCCTCGGGCCTCTGCCGTGGTTGCGTACTCATACATGTATTCCGGTGTACGATGAGCGGAGACAACACTGATCTCGTACGGGATGCCGAAGTCGTCGAGCACTTGAGCTGCATCCTTCATTGTGGGAAGGTCACTGTCACTGCCCATGATGATCCCCACGCTGGGTGAAGGCTTGGTCGGGACATCGTGCTTGCTAGCGGCGTCATCACCATCCACGGCTACCAGGACAGGGCGAATTGCTTCTAATGCCGCGGCCGGTGTAAAGCCGGTCACCGTGATGTGCCCCATCTTCCGGCCTTTGACACACCCCTCTTTGCCGTACCAGTGGATGCCGGCATCCGGAACTAGAAGTGCGCGTCGGAGTGGAGCCATGGTCTTCGTCACCATCTCTGGCGTCTCACCCTGTCCAAGGATGTTCACCATCATGGCACCACCGACTCGGAGCTGGCAGTCACCCAAAGGGAGGCCAAGCACACATCGAAGGTGCTGCTCGAACTGATCGACACCACAAGCTTCGATGGTGTAGTGGCCTGTATTGTGCGGTCGCGGAGCGATCTCGTTCAGGAGCACGGACCCATCGTGGAGGAGGAACATCTCCACGCCGAAGATACCCCGTGCGTCACCGAAGCTCTTGATGGCGTCGGTGGCAACCTTCTGGGCTAGCTCCTGCTGCTTCTGGGTGACTCCCACGGGTGGAGTCAGGCAGGTGAAGCATACGCTGTCGCGCTGCACGGTATGCACCACCGGGTAAGTGCGCATGGTAACATTCATGGTCTCGTCCACACCCCGGGCAACCATCACGGCCAGCTCCATCTTGAATGGAGCCCACTTCTCCACATACAGCTTCTTGCCGGCCTTGCCTCCAAGCTTCTCGAAGGCCGCCGTGATGCCCTGTGCATTAGGCACCACAGCGTTGCCCTTGCCGTCGTAGGCGCCGTATCGGCTCTTCAGCATCATGGGGTAGCCGAAGCGCTCGCCGATGCTATGCAAGTCAGCTTCAGACTCCACCTTCTCGAAGTCGGGCAAAGGCACACCATGCTTTTGAAGGTGGACCTTCTGGACGTACTTGTCCTGGATCAGCTTCACCACGAAGGGAAGTGGCTGAACGGGGACGCCTGCCTGGTGAAGCTCCTCCAGCACCTCCGCATTGACGTGCTCCACCTCCAAAGTGAGGATGTCACACTTCTTGGACAACTCTCGGACCGAGTCGGCATCCTGGAAGCTGCCCTTCACCGACATTTCCGCCACCTGTCCGGCAGGCGACTTCTCCCCAAGCGGGTCCAAGACGCACATCTTCACTCCAAGGCGATGGCCAGCATAGACCATCATCCGGCCAAGCTGGCCTCCACCAAGGCAGCCGACGGTTCGCTTGTCCATGGCGAGAAGGGTTTGAAGGAGGACTGGCACCGGGTACGGAATGGCTTATGGGCCTAAATGGCTCCAGGTGTCAACGCTGGGAAGGCGCGCTCCGACATCCTCTTGTTCACCTGCTGCATGACTTCTTTACTGGCACTACCAACTCTATCCCAAGAGGGTTGTGCCTGGGCGCAGGCTTCGGAGGTCGCGGGGGTACCGGGCCAAGAGATCCCTGCCAGGGCTCAGCGAAGATGCCTCGCAGTGACCAGTCGGCTGTGTTCTTCAAATGTCAAGTGGAAAAGGACTTTCGTAAACTCCGAATCGGAATTGAAAACGCCTTCAAGGGCCAGCCGAGATTCCGTACTTGTGATAATGCTTCTTCACGTACCTGCGAGGGATTCGAGTCTGAGTTTTCTATCTGGAACGAGTTCGCTTCGCAAGCTTTGTCAGAGGACCGAACGCACAGAAAACGAAAGGCTACACGTCAAGACACAAACCTTCAGCTGATGAGCGTGTATGCGCGAGACTGTATGTGTGTATGTGTGCGCGCTTATATAAGCATCATATACACATGCCTGTATGTATGTATGTATGTATGTATGTACGTGTCTGTATATGCACATCGTGTCGACAGATAACCTTTGGACCGAGGCTCTGCGAAAAAGCTGCCCAGTCAGCAACCAGAACTTGCTCTTCCTCCTCGGTACGCAACTCACGTAGCAAACCGCTTTACGCTCGCACAAATCGGTCAGTGCCAGACGAGGTCTCATGGGTCGGTACAGCACTGCAAGTGGGGCATCAAACGCCGTTTGCAGCGTTTTGCTGACATTCCCACTCGGACAAGCCTGGCAAGGTCTGCAGCAATACTAGTCCCTTGGTTAAGGATTGCCTATGCGGTCTATAGGGTTTATAATATGAATTTAAGGGTCTCGGCTTTAGGGTTCAAGTGCACTTCAAAAGCAGGTTCGAGAGCAGGGTGCCCACAAGCTTGTGATGTACAGTTTGCTGCACCAAGTTAAACTCATAGTTGCTGTCTCTCTCTCTCTCTCTCTCTCTCTCTCTCTCTCTCTCTATGTTTATATGCATAACAATATAGTTGTGCAAAAAACCTTTGCTGACATTGGTGTGATGAAACTCATTTAGGCAAGGCGCTGATCGTCTCCGCATCTGGTCGGTTTGCCTTCAAAGTGGTCTCAGTGAGCAGCTTTGTTTCTCTTGATGTTGATGGGACTGGTACAAGATCCTACGAAGCATCCGCTGAGCCAGAAAACCGAAAGTCCAGAATAGAAGTCACATGCGCCAAAGCCAATGCTCATCACTCTGAAAGATCACTGGCTTGCCCACCAAAAGAGGCGCTGTTTCCGGTACATAGAGGACAGTAGCAAGGACCTTGAGCAAGCATTCGGATCCAGACCCCCGGATTGCCTTCAAGGTATCTCACTGTAACAAACACCCGCATTGTTGTGATTACCCTCACTGGCTCCTGGAAAGCTTTCTGGGCTTGTGGAGCCAAGCAACCAGGCCAACCGCTTGAGTTCTTCGGGAGCCGGCGGCGCCTCTGTCGGATGGCCTGCACCGAACGTCCACTAAACTTTCGGCATCTTTCGGGCTTAGGGACTGTAGACAGAGCAAGGTAGTCTGCATAGTGTGATGATCTTCGATGTCCAAGAGATTCGAGCTCCGCTAAATCAGGCAATACATCGGTGCGTGCAGGTTCGGAGCCTGGCATCTTTGCCGGCCACCGATTCGGAAAGTCCTGAAAGGCAGCCAACACATCTCCTTCTATCTCCTCCCATAGGCCAGCAGCTACGACGACAACGACGATGCCCGCCACCACAACAACCACCACCAATGTTACCAATCTGCTGCACTACTCTTCTTCCTCCTGGTATCTCCTGGTGCGGCTGTTTTTGCTGCTGCTGTGGCTGCGGCTGCTGCGACGACTACGACTGCGACTACGACAGGTACTAGTACTGCAGCCAGATACCATGTTTCTGTCGCAGCAAACGTCTAGAGTCTACACTCTACACGATACCAGCAGAAGCAAACCAAACAAGTAGGAGGAGCATATGTAAAAAATGTAAAGTTAACAACGAGCATTAGGCATGCAGACGCATCGGGCGTCAGCCAGCCAAACGCCAAGAGTCATTGTCAGACGTAGTGTCGAGGTACCAGTTGTCTGCATCATCGAACTCGACGAGGTATCGCAAGGCATGGGCAGGTCCATCAAGCGAGAACCTGAGGCCGAAGGCTCACCAGCTCTCGTTGTACACGTGCCCCAAGAATAGCTTGCGCGTCCCTCATACTAGCTATTACGAGTGCCAGCATCGCGGCTAGATTTGACAAGACGCACATCACCAGAGCTCAGCTGGTAGGCGACACCTGGCTCCTGCCGTCGTTTCACAAGTCGGGAGTTCTGATGACATGAATGAATGACACTCACCGGATGCCACGGTCTACGATGATCACAGCGCTTGCTTGCCCAATAAGCATCTACCGTGATGCCGCGCGCTCCAGCATCGTGTCTCCCAGATTTATAGGCCGCTTTGTCGAGACACCCTCGAGGAACCAGTTGCGGCCCTCCTGGCAAACAGCATTTGCATCTGTGGATTTTGAGAGAGTTGGTGCACCATGCCTGAGGTCTTCAAGTTGCTCAGGCTAGGGTGGCATAATGATCGCATAATGTGTCTACTTGCCGTTGTCTCTTGACCTATTAGCTATGGGGTTTCGAGTCGAGCGGCTTGAGGCTTCAGGAGTCTTGAGACTGGTCGTTCAGAAGCTTTAGCTTTTGAGCTCAACGCGGCTTTTGTTTTCAGGAACTTGCAGTTACAGGATGGAAATTCCTAAGTTTGGACGGAACATTCTCGACGCTGGATGCAAAGGCTTGGGGCAGTCCTTGAACACCATGCAATGCCGTGATGCAACGCGTGAGTCGTCGACCTTCCGGTGTTTGTGGGCCATGGGGGCGTACTGAGTGCATGTCAAAAAGAAAAAGGATCAAGCTGAAAATGGGCAGATTTCAGGCCAATTGCAGAAGCTCGCAGAGCGCAAATAGCATCAACAACTAACCAACCGCCGTGTATTTGTGGCAAGTCAAGACAGTGGACATGAATCACAGTTTCCCCTTGAAAAAAACAATGACTTTTGGCAACTTGTGGCTGCGACCAGAAATCCGCGTGTTTGATGCTGCTCATCTCTCAGTCGCAGGCCTTGACGTGTGCGTCCTCGTGTGTTCCAATGGAAATGCGAGGAGGAGGGCCGTTCCGGGTCTTCTCATGTCCCTCCTGGTACCTGGGCTTGGCTAGATATTAGAGGGCAAGGATCCCTTCACAAAGCGATGTTGCTGGCAGGGGCGTGTCAGGCCGTCTCTATTGCCTGAACATGGAGCCACGATTAGAGCTAGTTGCACAACCTATTTGCTTGCCCAGTAGGTGCTGAACACCATGGGCAGTATCTTTCGCCCTCGAGGAGACAAACGAAGCTAGTCCGAACTGCAACTTCGTCAGCTGAACCCAGATCACACGGAATGGTTTCTGTCACTGCATTTCGTGTTCAGACACTCGTGCTGTTTGTCCACTGCTCTACGGGCACCGTTTTCTGTGAGAATGTATTTTTGTTGTGAAAGGCCGGGCCACCAGTATTCTGGTAGCCCATGCGCAGTCCCTCGAATCCAGGATCCCTGGCTGCGGAAACGATCGGCTTCAGCTTGCGTCAGTGGGTCGATCTGCTCCTCCCTCTCTCCCTCTCTCCCTCTCTCCCTCTCTGCCTCTCTCCCTCTCTCCCTCTCTGCCTCCCTCCCTCCCTCTCTCGCTCTCTCGCTCTCTCGCTCGCTCGCTCGCTCTCTCTCTCTCTCTCCCTCTCTCCCTCTCTCCCTCTCTCCCTCTCTCCCTCTCTCCCTCTCTGCCTCCCTCCCTCCCTCCCTCTCTCCCTCTCTCCCTCTCTCCCTCTCTGCCTCCCTCCCTCCCTCCCTCTCTCCCTCTCTCCCTCTCTCGCTCTCTCGCTGGCTCGCTCGCTCGCTCGCTCGCTCGCTCGCTCTCTCTCTCTCTCTCTCTCTCTCTCTCTCTCTCTCTCTCTCTCTCTCTCTCTCTCTCTCTCTCTCTCGGACTCCGTCATGCTGTTAGTTGCAGTTGGGGCTTCAAGCAAGCTCCTTTGCAAACACAGAAGAGCACGAAATTGCAGGGCACAAGGACTTCCTGCTCTGATACCTGAAATTCTTCATGTTTACCCATCTACGATTCCAGTATCTTGCAAGAACATTCAAGGCTCTTTCAGTTTTGGAGTCGCAAACCATGACCTTGCGCAATCACCGCTTGGCTACCGACGCCAGCCCTCTTCCGAATTCCTTCCGGCCTTCTCGCCCTCTTCCTCTCTTCACAGCATCAACGGACACTGCCACTGCGAACAAGTCAGCATGAAGCACCATTATATAGGACTTAAATGAGGGTCCCAAGGGCGGCTTCGCAAAATTGTGCTTTGGTTGCGGCCTCGTGTGAAGGAAACCCTGGCTTCTCGCACCAGTCTGCAGAGCTCTCCGCCGTCGGTGCCATGTCAGGTGGCCGCAGGCGCATGTCTTCATGTGATCTCCAGGCTTTGGGGTGTCGGAGCTTGGGTGCTGCATCCCCGCATCCTTCAGGCTCAAGTCGATCCGCTCTGTGGCGATTGCAAACCGTGCACGGTTCGGCTCGGAAGCTGCGACGGCTAGCGCGGGTTATAGCTGCTGACTGACATCATTGTTAATCTCCTGGCCACATGCTCCTCAACCAGCGCCTAACATCTCGCCATCGTCATCACAACCATAATAATAATCATCATCATCATCACCATCAGCTGCAGCATCACCATCGCCGTCGTCGTCAGCTTCTTCTTCATCATCACCATCATCACAGCCATCATCGCACATCATCAATATCACGACCACAAGCATCAGTATAATCATCTGCTTTCCCTGCACATGGACTGAACCGAAAATCGTAATGCCATGATTCTATCCGCTCGTCATCGTTGACATGCTTGTGGATGCTACGGTTTCTGTCCACTGTCTCGAGCTGCGACCAGATGAGGCAATCCTCCCTCCACGAAGCAGGACGGACTGTGGGCGGCACTGGACGCATGTCTGGAATCGATTGTACTGCGTCCTGGTCGCCGTGTTAAATCTACCAGGCAGTGCTGGACTACAAATTTTCCAGACGTGAACAGGCTAGTCGCCGCATTGTGGCTGAAATGCCTTCAGCGTCCTGGGTCTAGTCATAGCGTAGCCCAAGGTTGGCAGGTCAGAAGCTTCGAGATCATGCAACGCGGTAGCTGAAGGACTCGCTTCATGAAACGGCGGGCTACAAGATTGGAGCCGCTTCCTTGGTTCCCAGCCGAACTACACGGCTGCAACGATCGAAACCCGACAACCCATCAATGCCCAGCACGCTTCGAATGACACACAGGCTTCTCACCCCTCCTGGTGTCGTTGGACTTCATGGATGCGCTCCAGTCCAAGCAGAAGATCACGACCTTCGGCTGCATCCACTAGCTGCATACTGCAATTGTTAGAGTGAGCTGACTCTGCCTCTTTCTCTTGCTCCTTCTCTCTCTGTCTCTGTCTCGCTTTGCTTGCTCTGGGGCTTGAAGGGCAGGCAGTCCCTCTCTCTCTCTCTCTCGCTCGCGCTCGCCCGAGCAGAGTCGACGGTCAAGTCGCCGGTCTTCAAGAACAGGGGATTGACCATCGAGTGTGACCAGCTGAAGATGGCCAAGGCCTAGAGTATACGATGACGCATTGTCAGCGATCACACTCGAATCAGATCCGCGATGCTTCCAAGAATTGTTGTATAATGGGCCGACTGAAATAGAAGCATGGAAACATCACATTGCTTGAACCCTCCCCGTACCAGTCGAGCCAAGCCTGACTTTACAAATCAAGAGTCAGGGCCACGGGGATAACTATAGTTATATCAAAACAACAAACTCTTGACGATACTTGACGATACGTACAGACACAGATGAATGTATGAGACTTTACTGTGGAAGTACTAAGAGCTGAGCTTTCCCCCCGCTCGACGGCGAAGTGGTTAAGCGCTAGACTGGAGTGCGACGCATACTTAATTATCAGTGATGTGACGGTACCAAGGCAACGACAAACCAACACACACACACACACACACCGTGGGAGTCTGGCATCCCCCCTTGTTTTCTTGAGGGTCATTGCGACTTATGTGCTAAGATCGTTGCGAGTTTTCTGCGATCATGGCGGCTTGCCCGACTTCGTTCTGGTTCATTTCAGACCGAACACCTTAAGACACGCACTCTCTCTCTCTCTCTCTCTCTCTCTCTCTCTCTCTCTCTCTCTCTCTATACAGGGCGTGAAGGGGCAGCAGTGTCCAGGCTATCCTCTCTCTATGTCTCGCTCGCTGGTTGTGCATACGTAGTTTCGAGGCTTTAAGGGGACCGGGGTCTCCAGACATGGCTTACATGTCTTCCCAGCACAGAAAGAGGGTGAACGACAAAGAATGATCGGGAACCCTGTATCATGATATGGCTGTTGAATGCTGTTGACCACGAGCTAGTACAAAAAATGTGACAAAGTCGCGTTGCGACTTTGGTTGGGGGGGTTGCATTGCTTTTGGACATGAGTTCTGCGAAGTTCGTACGCAAGAACAACCGGAAGCCGGAAACTACTGCCAGGCCCAAAGCTTAAAAATATGACCTGCGCACAGCTCTCCTCCCCAGCCATGCCCTGAGCTAACAGCTTTCCAAACCTCAAGGCCCTATACCGTCAAATCTTTCGCTCTTGTAATGCAGTTTTCCCTCGCATGCCTTAGGGCCGCCTCCACCGCTGACCTTGGGCCGACTTCGAAATCGAGACAAGAGTTGAGCGGATTGAAAGCTTTCGGTAGTTGAGATCGCCATGCTAAGCAACGTTGCTGCTGCTGCTGCTGCTGCTGCTGCTGCTGCTGCTGTTGCTGCTTGAATTCTGTATCTATCTGTACTTTCGCTGTTCCTGTTATCATTATGAAGGCTGCGCTCTGGTGGTTAGCAGCTAAGTTGAAGGTGTAAAGCTTAAGGGGTACTATGGCCCAGAACAAGGCCGAGGGAGCTTCAAAGACTTGCCTAAACGCAGGCTCTAAACAACAAGAGCTGAACTTCTTGGCATACTGTGCAACGCAACCCTGGGTCGTCCTATCCTAATTAACCTCACACTACCTGGTGTGGCTTGTGTTTTGGGCTTTTAGACGCTTTCGGGCAAAATCCACCATTGCTGCAGCGAAGGACATTTGCAGTCGTTCAGAATGGAAGACAGTGGTTTCACGGATATTCGCTTTTGCATCTGGCTTCCAAACCGACTTCCACCGACCAGAATCGCTCAAAGCCCACAATCGGGAGACCTTCGAAACCAAACTGCACTTCCTCCCCCGCCCCCTCACCGGACACATACGCCAAGATGACGAGGGGCCACGTTCACTGCAGCGCCGGGCCTCGCAGTTACATATGGAATACGTAACATATGTGCGCACATAAGCTACCTGTGCGGTTTGGAGATGGCGAACAGAAGCGCAAAAACGGTGCCAACATCTCGCCGCTTTCTAGGGTGTCAAGGTAAGACAATCGAACACGTCCCTCCACCGTGCTACTCAGCTCGGGCAGTCAGTTCGTCGAGCCTTTTCAGGGAGCTTTGCAAATAGCCGTTCGCTAACAAGCATGAACAACAAACGAATGTGTCCAGTACAGTTGATTCGAAAGGTCTTGCAAAGCTCCCTGGTCTTCGGCAAAGCGGACGTGTCAAAGTCCATGTTAGTCTCCGGTCCAGTCCTAAACCCCTTCACAAGTTTCTTCAGCCGCAAGCCTTCCGAAGCACACGGAGCCGAGCAAAGCCCCCGACACATGCACCGGCAGCAACGCCGAGCCGCCAGCAGGAGGCTGGGCGATGCGATATCTCTTTGGAGCCCTTTCTGTCTGAGCTACTTGCACTATACTCTGCAAGCACACTATGCACTATGCAAACACTTTGAGCATCGGGGAAGTTTGGGTTGTGTTACTGTGGTCTTGGCTACTATAAGGCATGCGAAGGCGGAGATAACTAAATCTGTTGCGTTATTATACAGGGGAAGATACCAGAGCTGGGAATCTAAACGGGGACCCTCATACACAACAACCTTGCTAATCTAAACTCCGAGCCCTTCTCACCCGATTAACTTTAACCGACAGCCCAGAAAACCTGACTCCTCAGGCTTGACCTTCGAAGTTGTGTCTTGACTTGAAGTTCAGGGGCTGGGCTCCAAATGCTCCACCCAGCGAAAACCTGCGATGCCGCAACACTTTCTTTCAGTACAAAACAGGCTCCCAAACTTAAGTTCTGACCCTGGCAATCAAGTTCCAGCAGTATTCTCTATATCTCACCGTTGCTGGTCTAGACGTTGCTGCGCCAGGCACAGCTATGATATGGTTTTTACAATTCAGCCCGAAACATGGCTGAGACTGGCGCTGCTTCCGGTCGTCCCAGATCACGGGCTTCACTCGGGACCTCTTCTGTGTGCTTACTTTGCCGGGCTTGGACACAGGGTGCCCTTCCGTGTCCAAGCGATATGGAGCTTTGTGAGGCAAGCAGCTACGACTTGACGTGTCAAAACACATGCTGAGCAAATACACATGGCAACGCTTGCCCTGTGAGCTGAGTGCAGTGGCTGCATGGGAAGTAACTCGACGGAGAAACTCTCTTTTACTGGCAGCAGATCCCGGAAATAACGCCACGGGTTATGTTGGCGCCGTCTCCCTTAAGCTGAGTGCTTTCCTGACCCAGCCACACGATTTAACATCCCGTGCATCACTCCGACGACCCCAGCACAGTCGCGAAAATGAGATAAGCACCGAACAAGAAAGCCCTGCAAATCTTCCATCAGTTGAGTGTAAGACAGCGAAACGAATCAAAACAGAACTAAGACCGCACTGGTGGCCTCCTTTGGGTCGACGGAGGGAAGCCGGGCAAAGGCCTCAGAGTTACCCACAACATTGATCAGGTGTAGCCAGGCCTGTTTATTCTGCACGGATTATCTACTATAAAGGCTTGCAGCTTGTTCGGCCATGTCCAGTTTGTTGTTTCCGTCGAGACTGGCGACTTGGGGCCGGGGAGAACATTAAGACGCAACTTGTGAGGAGCACACCGGTATAGAGACAGATCGGTGCTCTCGTTACATCGTGTTAAGTAAAAGCTCAGCAGCCATCATGTCATAGATCTTGCTGTTGCCTGTTCGCTTTGGGGCCATTTCATCACAATAATACTTCCAGGCGATCGATATTGCGTTGGTCATGTTTTGATAAAGAAACCCAAAACACTAGCTTCATATACCTACAACCGGATCTTTGAGGTCAGTTTGTGATACTACACTTACTACACCACCATGATCTACCTGGCATTTTGATTGCACCCGCTGGCGGCACGAACACTGGATCGAAGTCAATCGTGATTTCTGCTACCCGATACCCTGTCTCCCTGTCACGGTCACCGCCCTTTCCGTTGCTAGGGTCGAGTGTTGTAAGTAGAGGCATGGAAATCCAAAAGACTGCA